TTTTTCGTCAAATTATATTTTTCTAAATTGTATAATTTCGAAATGTCATTTTGGGTGAAATGAAGAGAATAATTCAAAATTGAGTTTTTTTTTTTAATGTATCTTTTCCCATTCTTAGATTAATTGTCCATATCCGTCACCTATCTACTAATTCTTCCTTTACACGTTTTTTAATCCATATAAATTTTGTCTCTTTTTGCTTGAGTAATACGTGAAAACTAATACTTCATAACTAATAATAGTATAAACCAATATTCATTGATAAACATATGAAATAATTTATTGTTGTATGAAAAATTTAAACAGGATAAAGAACTATCAATCAACAAACAATGGAAGAAAAATGTAAACGTGAGTTGGTTTTAGAATGCATTTTTAAACTTAAAATTTAAAACTAGTAATAACTTTAAAGGCCTTGTCAAACAGAACGCGTTATTAACGTCGAGGTGTTACCGACGCGTTATTAACGCTACCGCTAACTTTACATATGTCACACAGAAACCAAAGCGTTGCGTCATGATAGGTTGATAGTAGCCGATAATAATGCAGTATTGTTAGTACGTTTACAAGGTATAGACGGTATAGTTGACAAAAATGTCCAATAGTTCGGACGAAGAAGAACTTTTACTTTTATATGCAGTAGTTGAAAGTCAACAAAAGGAGAAGCGAATTTGGGTTCATGACATAAATAAAAAAAAGAGAAAATTATGGCCTTATGGTGGCAAATTTAGCACTTGACCTCAGTGTACTTCTGGCAAAATATTTGTATTTCTTGATGTCTCAGGACAGTTTTGAAGAATTGTACGAACTGATTTTACTAAGGATTGACAAAAATAACGCTGTAACGCACGTGATTTTGTAAATGTGTACAACTTTGTGTTTAAGCGTCGCGTTCTTGTGCCACGTTAACCACGCTGACGAGCCATGTTTGACGGCCGATATAATTTGTAATTAAATACAACGCGACGATAATAACGCTTTCACGCGCGTGAACAACGCGTTCTGTTTGACAAGGCCTTAATAAATTTCAATAATATTGTTTTTACTTAATTTATTTATTTATTATTTATTATCTTTAGCTTGACGTACCGGTCAAATATCGCCGGTCGTTAATAGGCATCAACGAGGAGACTGTCCGTAAGCTTTGTAGTACATTTAAAGTACAAATTGTAATTCCTCCAAAAGAGGAGTACAAAAATATCATAAAGGTAAGTGTAATAAAATTGTGTGTGTTATTTGATCAAAAGAAATTATTGCAACGATCAATTATTATAAAAATCAAAATATAACTAAAATTTGTTGTATTTTTTGTTTGTATTTTAGATTACTGGACCTCAACAAAACTTAGAACAAGTCGTCAAGGAAATCAAGGCGCTAATGGAGGATTTTGATAATAAGCAATTACGAGCTCGTATAATTCAGGTATTTTGATATTCGGTTAATATACAATGTATTTAATGAAAGAGAATATGGAAATTTATTTTGTTTTTCCTGTTATTTGTTTCGTGTCATAATATTGTTTTTAATTTGTTTTATATATACACAGACTGCTAACGACCACAAGAAGATTGCTCGTAAAGAAAACTCCGCAGATAAGAAAACAATCGGTGAGGTTCAATGCATGCAAGAACACACTAGTGATACTTCTGGCGGTACTATTATCCCAAGTATGCAGTGTCATTTTTTATTATTTTTAATCCGTTAATCAAAATAAATTTGATTAAATATTATATTAGTTTATAAACAAAAATGAAATATATTATATCCACATTAAAACTTTCAAATTAGCCGATATGTTAAATATAGTAATCTAAAACATACAAATTTTAATGCATGTAAAGCGTTCAAGGTTACCAGATTTATTGGACGACAATTTAATTTCTCCATTTATAAACATTAATTAATTTCATTGATTCTTCCATCAGAAATTATAATCTATCTAAATTATTAAACAGAACTTAGCATAATGTTTTAATTAAATTCTTTTTTTTAATCCAATGTTAACTTAGGGAACTAGTTTATTTAATCTACAATGTCACTTATGTTTATTAGGTATTCAGTTACCTTTGCATTAATTACAATTATCTTTAAATCTGTTTTTATAGTGTAGTTAACGTTTTCATTACTTAACATTTCTATATAATTAATATTTTTATTGTATAAATATACTTTTATTTTATTGATTATTTTCCCCACATATTCCGTTAAAACACAATGATAAATGAGAATATTATCTTTAAACACACAGTTACTGGAAGAAAAGAGGATGAACGTATCGTTGAAAAAACGAACAATCAAGCAGTGCAAGATAAAACACATTTAAACGTTTCAGACGTTAACATCGTCGAAATCAATGAAACTGGCAAACGCCATTCTTTGATCGTAAAACCGAAAACAGTTAAGCAGGTAATGTTGTTTTATTTTTTTTTCGATCTATAAAAGTACTTTGAACTACTTACATTTGCATTGGTATTAGTTATTCAAAGTGAATATGTAATTTTATTCCGTTTTTCCTGTTATTTATCTGATGTTAATAATATTGTTTTTTATTTGTCGTATATATACACGGATAACTGAATTCCACAAAAAGAAAACTGTCAATGAAATTTTAAATGTAAAGAAAACTCACCTAGGTGATGTTCAATGTCTGCAAGATAACCCAAGTGACACTTCTGGTGAGACTATTTTTCCAAGTTTTCAGTGTATTTCCTAATATTTTAAATTCGTTAATCTAATTATAATTTTAAATTGTTGTAATTATTTTTTTTTGTGATATTAATTTAAAAAAAAAAAAGAAAAATATAAATTCAGAGGTTACACAAAGATCTGTCACCGGAAATAACTTATGTTCGATTCTATATTTTTATTTTTTTAATAATTTCAATAATTTTTGTCAGGTTTTCAATATTTTCTTTGGTATTCTTATACTTGATTTGACATTATAATAGTTTTTAAACAAACATAAAATACTCAATCCGCATTTTCAGATTCAACAAAATGTAAAAAATAAATAACCATGTACCTCCATCGTAATTTTCTGAAAATATGTTTAAAAAATGGCTATTTTCAATTTGTATAGATCAAAATAAAAAAAAATTAACTCTTACGCTTTTATTATATTAAAATAAGTGCATGCATGTAATGCTAGAAACCGTTCGAATTTTTTTTTTGTTTTGTTTTCATAATTNACATAAAAAACTCAATCCACTTTTTCAGATTCAACAAAATGTAAAAAATAAATAACCATGTACCTCCATCGTAATTTTCTGAAAATATGTTTTAAAAAATGGCTATTTTCAATTTGTATACATCAAAATAAAAAAAATTAATTCTTACGCTTTTATTATATTAAAATAAGTGCATGCATGTAATGCTAGATACCGTTCGAATTTTCTTTTTGTTTTGTTTTCATAATTTGGTTTGGTGTCTATAAATATATTTTCATTTCATTGATAATTCCTCCGAAATATTCCGTTAAAATACAATGATTAATGTCAGTATTAACATTAAACACACAGTGTCGTCACAAATTGAGGATGAACATATCGTTGGAAAAGCGTACAATCAAGAGCTTCAAGTTAAATCAGATACATACGCATCAAAACTAAAAAATCCTAAAATCGATCATCAAAGGCAACAACCACCTTCGATCATACCACCAAAAACGGATGATCAGGTAATTTTGTTTTAATATTTTTTCGATCTTTCATAGTACTATGAACCAGTTACATTTGCGTTGGCTTTTTTTATATTCAATATGAATATGTAATTTTATTTTTTTTTTCTGTTTTATGTCTGTCGTTAATAATATTATTTTCGTTTTTCGAACATACTCATAGATTTCTAACGACCACAAGGTTAATGCTCACGAGACAAAATCCGATGAAAACAAAACCGTCGTCGGTGATTCCCAAGGCTTACAAGAAAATCCGATGGACATTTCTGGTAAGACTATTTTTCCAAGATTGCAATGTTCTACTTTATTATTTTTAGTCCATTTATAAAATTATTGTTTTCAATGATGTGATAATTTTCCTTTTTCGGATTCTAATTTTTAAAAAAAGAAAACAACATATTAATATTATTTTTAACACACAGGTAGTGTTTAGTGGCCATTCAATTGTTTTTTTTCAGTTAATTACATTGCACTATAACTAAATGTTATGTAAAGATTATGATTAGAAAAATAAAAGTTATTTAGAATAAGGACAAAAAAAAAAAAATAAATATAAACTCAGTATGTAGCACGCTTTTAATAGAAAATCGATAGCCGATGAGTACAACAACGCATTATATTTACCTTTATAACCTACCTCTCCAATATTAACGTACCATATAAACTATGTCCATCTATTTTTAATATAAATTCATTGGTTATTAATACAAAATTGATATACTTTTACTTTGATCCGGTATGCATAAAAACTTTTACTTTGATCCGGTATGCATAAAAATTACATGGTTATTAATACAAAATTGATATACTTTTACTTTGATCCGGTATGCATAAAAATTACACAATACATAACCGTAAACTTAAATTTACTTATTAAATCAAACGAATGAATAGAATGTTTATTTTATTAAAAGTGGGTACATAATATTTAATAAAGATATAAAATGGACTCATATCACGGAGTTAAAAGATTTACTTCAGTGTTTTGGATTCCATTTAATTTATTATTTTGATTTAATGTTATCTTACGGAGCGTATTTATCAATTGATTTATATACATTGTTATACATTTTTTTATTGAATTTTAATTTATTGTATTTATAAACATTAATTAGTTTCACTAATTTGTCCACCAAAAATACTGTTAAATACAATTATTAAAACAGTATTAAAATTTTACACACAGAATCTACAAACGATGACGATAGAATGAAAGATCAAAAGACGTACAATCAAAAGTTCCCGGTTATACAAGAAGCGAAATCTTTAGGAACACAAAACATGGAGATTAATCGAAAACGCCAAGGTTTAAATAAAACACCTAAAATGGTTAACCAGGTATTTTATTTTATTTTCTTACAAAATATCAAAATACATTTTGTTTCTTTTAAATGGTACTTTTTAAAATACAATTACCAAGTGGTAAAAATTAAAATTTGATAAATTATCGACAAAATCTTCATAGTTCAAAAAATTCACATTCTTTTAGTAGTCATTCACAATCTCAGTTCGAGACAATAAATTTAAAAATGGTGAATTGATAACCGTTGAAAACGCAAAACGTATATGTAGAAGCTTCATTGACACGGTAGTTGCCATTGAAATATCTGCAATAAAAAGCCAAACAGATTTGACATTTATAGTCAGTGGTAAATTAAATGATGTGTTAGATGTTAAAAAAAGAATAATGAATCATATTCAGGCGAAGATAAATTATGAATTCATATTAAAACTAATTTATTATTTGTTAATAATATTATAAAACTCGTTTATGTTTGTCTCGATTCACATTTGTATGTATATTAAATGAGTTCTCTGTATATTAAACTTTAAAACTAATTATGCTTCCCAGATGATATAAATTATTAATTCTTTAAATCAATCCGATTCGTGACGTGCTGGACATTATTTATTTTAATCAATAAAAGGATTACAATAAAATCCAGTTAACCACACTTTATATGTCCTACACAACTTATTGCACCATGACCTTTGTATTATGAAATATTATAAACTTGCATCTCTAACCTATAAAAACCTCACATATCATTCGTCAACCATTCTTATACACTGATGAACAACCTGGCTTCCGGATAAATTTCCGACTATTTA